GATTTCACTTATTTTTAATTAAATTTTATTTTTAACTCAAACTTACACTGCCTTAATTATTAATACACTTTGTTAATGATGTGTGAAATGTTTTTCATTGCTGGTTATGGAAAGTCAGTTGCATTTGTATGAACTCGTTTTTTATACTTTGTCAAGCGCGGTAGAAATTGTTTAGGTTAGGTGAGTTTGGTAGGCTCGGTAGAAGTATTTATACTGTAGGATAAGTAATGGCATCCTGAAGTGAAGTGAATTTCAATACATACGATAGATATGGTAGAAAATATTTCAATATTTTTTTTTTTTAGTATCTGATATCAAAAATGATCCATTCATTTTTTTGCGAATCACTTTGGATCATGGAGTTAGTACTGCTTTTAACATTTTAACCTCATGTTCGTTTGAAAAGATTAACTAGCTTTAAACAAAACACACATAGCAGCTGAGAACTATACACAGCTTTTAATCATTTTTCAACCGAGTTTACGCAGCACCAAATTTGTGTCGAGTTTTCGTTTACCCAAATATTCAACAACAATGTGCCCGAATGGATCCCTTGATATATTTTTGGTGTCACCATCAAGCTCTATTTTTTATAGTTATCTAAAAACATTTCCAGATATTTTTTTTGTCTATATCGAACTATTTTTTTATCCTCGGTGATCACAAACTGCACTTTGCACGGAAATTAGAGAACCATTTATGATTGAGTACTTTATCGACACTCGTCCAGCAATTTTTTTCGAATCATTCGCATTTTTTTATGAAATTACATTAAGTTAAGTAAGAGCGTGGCCGACTTTACCGAAAGTTAATGAAAGATTTCGCTCTAATTCCTTCGCGAGCCGATATAGGGAAGCTTTGTCCTTGATGCATTGTCAACAAAGGTTCAGTTGTCTCTGATCTTTTCAAAGAGAATTACGTTAAAGGCCATGAGTGCTAAGTACGCGTCGCGTTACGACGCTGTGCACCTTTGCATCCAACCAGAAGGTCCCAAAATGTCGCCAGCAATGGCTGCTAAATATGTGAGAAAGTCGAAGGCATTTGTACAGAAGTGGATACAGCGACATAAAGTGGCTAAAAATTTCGATGATTTACCAGAATGTGGTTCGATAGGAAAAGTGAACAAAAAATATGAAAAAAATAGTGAATCTGTTTTCGCGGAATCTGCTGTAACACTGCGGCAAGGACAAGCAAAATTAATGGCAAAAGGTTTAGATATATGCCACGAAACTATCGGGACCCTTCTTCATACTCCTGATCTGAAATGGCGCAACACAATGAAGAAGCCTCTGTTGACTGAAAAACTCTGAACTCAGTGAAAACTCTAGTGAAAATTTGTGGGCATATATTAAACAGAAGCTTCATGGAAGACGCACATACACTTTGAAGCAATTGTCTTACGAAATTCGTCAGATCTGGAGATCCTTGCCACTAGAATATGCCGTCAAATTAGTATAAAGCATGCCTCGGAGATGGCAGGCAATTATCAAATCCGGTGGTGACTGGACACATTATTGACCAAATTGCATCATTGTTTGGAATGTGTACAATGTAAATATGAAAGTTTCATTTTTTTTATAAATTAACACGACCCCGCTCTTACTTGACAGACTGTATATTGATTTATCAAAATATGAAASTAATTTTTGTTCCACTTTATTGAATGTTACATAACTTGTTAGAATTAAAATGCTATATCTCACAAAAATCGCGTTCACTGAGGGACTGTTTATGGTGCTATGCTCTATTATGGTATATACCATACTTTCTTGGAAACAGCTTTTGGTTAATCCGGCTCTCTAATCTTCATAATYTATGCCAATTTCAGGTTAGACTAGACATTTCATTTTTCGAGAAGTTGGATTAAGATTAGGTTGTATAGTTGATTTCAAGCGATCTCCCTTGAACCGATTATGATCAGTACTTTATGAAGCCAGAAAAAGAACTCAGAACCGACAAAATATGATGTTACCCTTTGAAAATATACTAAGGCGTTACATTTTTTTTCGTCAGCTCAGTTGGACATTAAAAGTGTGTAATCCAAGTGCTGATCTCGCAAATTTCAAGGCAATTATGTGGTAAGGATTTTAACCTAACTATGTGAATACTGATCGAAAATTGTCCAGATGTAACTTTTAAAATTAGCGAATTGTCTGTGATTCTGTTTCGGCTAGGTATACAAACTAGTTTTATGAAGAAGTAACCCAATACACTTGCTTGTGAGATGAGACGTTTTTTAACAAGTCTCCAGCCCCCCAGTCATAGAGTTCAAGACTAGTATTGCCGGAATGSATAGTCGCAGCTCTAACGAGGCTGCGCCTTGGGGCAGGAGACAGTAGTAGTAATGGCAACCTCGGCTTGAAAAACGCTGCAATAGCAGCAAGCTTGAAGTTGATATTGGTAGCTTCTCCGCAACCCTTGACCCTCAGTGAAAAGCTGTCCTCTTTACCCCATCGGGTTTCGTTCCACCGAGTTGTATCACGAACTTATGATGAGAGAGAAAATACTGCCCGAGCTTGGCGATATAGATCATTCTGTTCAAAGCTATAGTTCCATTTTTTAACACTTGTTGGGATAAAAATTCACTAACTCTTCAAAAATATCGTTAAGATTTTTTCTTCAATAATCATATAAACTCCTAAGTGCTTTTACTCGATAAAATATTTCACTAATTGCTGTGGTCAATCAGTTAATATWTTTAAGCAATTGTTAGGCATTTGTCAAGAACTGGTTTTGAATTATCTTAATTCCATTAAGCAAATATGAATTAATTAATTCAAAGCAACRAAAATTGTCACGATTTCTATTTTTAAGTGATGCCAAATTTGGATCAATTAAATTTCGCAACGACTCGAGATAATTCCTTAACGGCAAAACGCAATTAATTAAGAACACAATCCAAAAATAATTTGCTTAATATACAAAAAAGGTAATCAAATAAGAAAAAAAAAACCTTTAGCGACGATTGCAGCGATATCTTTATACCATTTMCAAATGTATAAAATACCTTACAATAATTGTGAGTGACCAGTTTGTATGGCAGCTATATACAATATTGACTCGATCTGAAAAATTTTTTCGGATATTGCAATAAAGCTTTGGACAATAATATGTGCATATAGTGAAGAAATCTTATAAAATGAAAAAGTTTTCTATACAAGCACTTTATTACGATCTTTAAGTTACGGTCTTAACAATTTCTTCATCCATTACCTAAGACGATAACTCACGCGTATTGGGCAGTTTTGTGACGTCGTTGTGCCAAATTTTGCGAAAAGATCATGGCCTGCATGCCTACAAGATCAAACTGACGCAAGAACTGAAGCCGCTTAACAACCAGAATCGTCGTATGTTCGTGAATTTCGCTGAGCAACAACTTGAATATGATCCCGATTTTCATCGAAAAATCATCTTCCGCTATGAGGCTCATTTCTGGCTGAATGGCTTCGTCTATAACGAAAATATGATTGGTCAGGCAGCAATCTACACATACTTCATGAGTCACCATTGCGTTCCGAAAAAATTATAGTTTGGCGCGGTTTATGGGCCGTCGGCGTCATTGAGCCGTACTTCTTTCATGATCATCAAAACCGGTACGTTACTGTGAATGGGAATCACTACCGCTCATTGATAACCGAACATTTTTGGCCCAAATTGGATGAATGATCTTGGACATATATATGGAACCACATATCGGCGCCACAAGCCACACAACGAATGTCACAATCGATTTATTGAAAACCGAGTTTGGTGAACTTGTCACGAAATGGCTCAGTCGTTAGACTAATTCCTGTGGGGCTACATCAAGCCTATGACCTATGGAAACAAGCCAACTACTATTGGTGAATTTCGTACAAATATTGAACTTGCAATTGAAAGCCGTCGAAAACTGGGTTCAGCGTCTGGACTTCTGCAAGCTTGTCCATGATGACCATGCAAATCGAGTTCCATATATTATTGCATCAAATGTACTTTTACAGGAATAAAGAATTTTATTGATATCCCAAACCGTCTTTGTAGCGCTCTTATTGACAAATCTGTTACAGTCGGACGGAAAGACAATGGGCAAAGAAGCTCGGTGTTTGGGTACCACATGAGTTGACTGTGGAAAAATTTAATGGATCGAATWAACTTTTCTGAAGCGAAATATAACAGGAGACGAAAAATGGATCAAATACGACAATAATGTRCGAAAAAGWTCATGGTCCCAGCGTAGTGAAGCTCAACAAATAGTTGCAAAGCCAGGATTGACGCCTTGAAAGGTTATGCTGAGTGGGTTTTGGTGGGATTTGAAACGAATAATCCACTATGAGCTGCTTCAACCTGGTCGAACGATTGATTCTACATTTTACTGTCTGTCAACAACTGATGAGATTGAAGCAAGCAATCAAAAACAAACAAAAAAAAAAAACAAAACTGCCAGAACTGATCAACAGAAAGGACTTTGACTTCCATCAGGACAACGTCATTGATGACTCGGGATAAATTGGGAGGGCTTGGCTGGGAAGTTTTGATGCATCCACCATAGAGCCCTTTTGCGCTATCGTACGTGTATTTCGGTCAATGCAGAAGTCCTTTAATGGAGTAAAGTTGGGTTCAAGAGAAGCCTGTGAAAATTACTTGTCGCAGTTTTTCGCGAAAACAGAAAAGTTTTACACTGGTGGAATAATGTCTCTAGCGGAAAAATGGCAAAAAGTGGTCGACCAAAATTTGATTCTTTAGAGATCATTACATATCATTACACATATAAAAAAAATAATTTGAAGTCTGATTAGAAATACGAAAATACTTTTTCGACTACCCTATATTATATTATAAAAATTTTATAGGGTCTTCAAAATTTTCTTCTTCTACAAATTTCGTGGCAAACTTATATTAAGTTGAGGGTACAAAAATAAAAAAAATGCAAAAGAATATTTGATACAAAGAAAAAAAAAAAAAACAAAATTAGGTGTATCCATTGACTCTGAAATCATTTCAATTTATATTTGCTTACTCACCTGGTAAAAACATCCGGATAGTGTGTGCGCGAGAAGGCCTTCTCCAACTCTTCCAATTGAAAACTGGTGAATGTGGTGCGATAGCGACGCTGCTTACGTTTCGGCGCATAATCGTCCAAATCGCCATCGCTATTCGTGTCAGAAATGGGACTGTTCGTGCCGCCGCTAGCGCCGGTCGTCACAATGCACGAGGCCGAACGATCAGGCATGGCATCCTGATGTGCTAATTTGGCTTCTTGCGGTAGGTCGTCCAGCTTGACGTCCTCGGATATGCCCATAATCCAAATGGGCGCAATGTTGATAATGTTAGTGKGCGTGGCAAGGAAATTCAAGAAATTGCTCACGCTAAGTTTGTTGGAGGGTTTTCAATTTTTTTTTTTTTTGAAAATATTATAATTTTTTTTTATTTTTTTGTGTTAAAGACTCGCGTTTAAGCTGCGTTCAAGTAAATCACTTGCTGTTTATTAGCTTTTTTCGCAGTGTTTCCTTTTCCGAATACCTGCAAATAGAAATATAAGCAAATACTTTAGTGCATTAGTGRCATACTTGTGTACGTAAATGTCTACACGGYTTTATGGTAGCAAAATTAAGCTTGAATTTTTCATGSACGTGCAAAAATGCCGGRCATGCGCTTGGATGATAGCGCAATGAGGTTATGCGCATGCGTAATGCGCAATAGAACTCATCACCATAAATAAGTTGGATTTCAACGGAAACGTGTGGACATAACATAGTTACAACTTAATTGAAAATCCAATCGCCTTATTGATGCCTAAGTGGACAAATGCGCTGGTACGCGCTCCGGACTTGTCCTATGGGTTGTAAGCGCGCGTGCGTAACGTAGCTGCCGCGCAGCGTCTAGTCGATTTGCTGACGCGCAGCGTTGCATGGCATTGGTCCAACAACTTAATTAGTTCACTAATTCATGACAAGTGAGGAGGCATCAACTAATTTGTAGCGAGGCACTTGGTGCGCGCAGTGCACTTTACAAACGTATTCGCGGCATCGGTCACGCTTGCCAATTGCATACGTAAGTGCGCAAATAAATACGSATAACACAAACAAACACACACATACATAAATAAATACATACAGCTGCAGACGCGCTACAATATAGCAAAGAACAAGTGCATGCAATCGTTACTGCGCATGCGCAGCTGCAGTTTAGCCCTTTTACATTTTATTTATATTTTATTGCTTCGCCTTTTGTACATTTACGCATATATTTACTGCCTTTACTTGCTGTGCTGTGCTGTGCAGTGCTGAGTGATCAATTGCTCGGCTGCTTTGCCTGTGCTGTTGTTGCATTTTTTGTCGCTCTTTCACTCGCCCACCAAATAAGGACATTTCTCCCATTGCTATTTTAAGGGAAAATTAAAGATGCGTGCGGAAAATACCAAAAGCGTTAAATGAAATTCCTGCTAAAATGGCTGGAAGCCGGAAAATATCAGTATTCGCAATTCACCACAGCGAAGTTGTTGTAGTCGACTGGCAGGCGTATATGCTGAGTGTAGGTGCATGCAGTCTGCGGTTGTTGGTAGCACAGATCATTGCCGATTTCGTAGCTGACCATAGCATATATTAAATTAACGCAATTACGATTGTGTCTAGGGAACTGCACAGTGATGCATTTGTAGCAAAGCAGTAAGTAAATATTGGTTTCTACTACATTCTATATATATCATTGCACCTCACACTAATCTCACTAGTTCAGATGTGCAGAATGTATAGCCTCTGCTGAAAACACTTAACTATTGAGTACTCTTAGGAGAAGGGAGGCAATTTCTGCTCGTGTGCTTCCATAGAAATAATCCCCGCAGTCAACTGCTTGAAGCGAATCCGCCACCTAGARACATCAAGAGCACATCTATCAAACATGTCGACGAACTTGAACATTACGACCAAATTGCGAATACCCAAAATTTCCGACCTGCACTGAACGCAATTCTCAGTGGAGTTATTAACACTTTCATTGAGTCACTCTCAGTGAATGGCGTAGGTGGGGTTCAAACACCTGCCATAGCGGAACAAGAGCTCGTGTTGCCACGTAAAATAAGTGAAAACCTTGCATAACTTAAAGCCATACTTATCCAGTATAGATCCTTATATATAAAATCTATGGTCTGCATGTAAGGAGGCCCCATATAATACCACTAACCTCGTTGCATGCCCAATAAAACCAATTACTAACTCCCTTCTCCTTATTATCCAACATTTGATKTTTTGCGTTCCTCCTAAACAGAGTCCGGATAATCGTTACAATAAGTACAACAACGGGTGCAGTGGG